ATTTTTGCCGGATATGATGTCTGAATTGAAATGACCTGTAATAGCAGGTCATCTACCGATTCTTGGCTTCATTGTCTCGATTTAACATCTTAAAGCCTAAAGGGTGTAATTGCACTTTTTAAAAGTTTAATGACCTAATTGACTTTTCAGGTAAAGTTTAGGGACTTATATGACCCTTTTTCCAATTATAAATTACTTTATAAATATTGTACTATTATGTTTTTTATCGGGCACAATTGTTGTTAGTGGGTGGGTGGGTGGGTGGGGGGGGGGGATTTTTAGAGTAACAAAGTGTATATATATATATATATATATATATATATATATATATATATATATATATATATATATATATATATATATATAGGTGATAAGCGTCAAAAAATGCTAGTTTTTAGGAGCTTTTTGGAAGTATTTTGCACGTGTTTTAGCCCTAAGAATGTTTGTATCACGAAGAATTATCTTAAAATTAAGGTTTAGCACAAAGATATACCTTCCTAATCATACTTTTTTTATTTTTAGGTATTTTTGGACTAAGGAAAGTGGAAAAGGAAGATCAAAAATGCAAAATCCGAAAAGCACATGGCAAGGCACTAGTCACACCCGTGTCACGGCGTGACGGAAATGTAAAGCACAAAAAAATTCGTCACACCATAGTCACGCCTATAGGCGGAGAAAATGGGAGTTATTTTCCATTTACACCGCCTTCACAGCGTAACGGGTTGCGTGACAGAGTAGAGTGAAGACGCGCGCGGAAGGGGGAATTATTTTCCACTTACGCCGCCACCACGGCGTAAGAAGCAGCGTAACCAGACAGCGGAGCGAAGGAGCGCGCGCGAGGAATTATTCCCCATTTATGCCCGCATCACGCATAAGCGCGGCATAAATGTGGAGCCGAATTGCTTCAAAAGAAGAGGTGAGAAAGGCTGAAAGGGGAGAACATTTTTTGACAGATTTTTACATTTTTCCCAAATTCTAGAGAGAGAAACCTTCTTAGTTAGCTTAGGGTTTTAGATCTAGGGAAGATTTGTGAAGATCTCCACATCAACTTGAAGGAAATTGATGCAATTAGAGATTCTTTGTTGGTAACAATCCCTTCTTCATCATCTATTAGATATAATTGTGCTTCAAATTCATGGGTTGTTCTAGCTTAAATTCTCTTGTTGTGTCTTTTGAATTTATGATGCGTGGCTAAATTTGTGTGAGGTTGGTAGTGTGTGTTACAATGATGTACTAGGATCTTATTTTGCTAGGGATTTATGATTTGAGATTTGTGTGAAATGCTCTTGTTGTGGGTACGTGATTTTGTGTTGCTCCTCATTCCTTAATGGCCACATTGAATGCTGTTGTTTGAGAGAGATTAGTTGATGAGAGATCATAACTAATCGTAGTCTTTGTCATCCACATTTTCCGCCCTTCGATCCGAGAGGGCAAGGTCCGGGAAGGATCGTAGGCAATGTGTTTGATTAAATGCCTAGGACAAGTGATTTTGGCCTAGATAGTTAGGTGTCATGCCTCAACCTAGCATCTATCCACAAGTGTCACGCAACTCACTTCTTCCTAAATCCCTTTACCATAAACTAGTATATATGTGCAAAATACACCCTCCAACCTTCTACCTATCTCTTGATTGATTCACCAACTAGTTTGCATTTGTTCATCACCTTTGCTCTCATAACCTCATTTTTCCTATTTTGCATAGTGACAATCTTTTGTTTAAACATTATTTGAATTAAACCTTGTCACTTTACGAACTCCAAGTTGTCATCCTCAAGCGAACGACACTCGGGGTGGCTCTCACTTCCCGTTTTACCGCATTTCAATTCACCTACACGACCCATGCACACCTACTCTTTTGACAACGCTAAATAGAATGAGAACCGTAAGAGAAAGCGTGTGTCAGTAGGGAACTCGAGTTCAAGCAATAGTGTTTGATCATCACAACACTAGAATGTATGATATCACTCTACAGACTAACTCCTGGTATAGTATGTCAAATGCTATTGCCAAACCTGCGCGATGTAACTACAAGTATACATGGACTTTAAATGGTAGGAACATTGTCCAAACAATTAATATTGATGACACCCAACCAACTCCATTTGAACAAGTTTACACATCATTCTCAGAATTTTATCAATGCATGAAAGGTTTTAAAGAAATTTGTAAGTTAATTTTTATTATGTCATTATAACAATATCTATTATAACCATATATTTTAAATTATTTATCACCATCCTCTACTGACAACAATTATAGCAATTGTCATTGACAAACTCACAAAGTAATTTGTTTTAACAATGAATGGAAAAAAAAATCAATGACTTTATTATTGTTGATGTAAAGTAAGTTCCTCACTCTATTATTCTTATTAAATTAAATAAATAATTAGCTACAACAAAAAATAATGCATATGCATTTTTTTTTAGGGATAAGGGTCAAATAGGCCCTTCAAATATAAGTCAAAGTGCAATTAACCCCCTAAACTAAGAAAAGCTCCAATTAAACACTTCAGCTCTTCAGTTTTATGCAATTTAGCCCATAACTTCTTAAATTTGTACAATTAGCTTATTTTGCAAGTAAGCTCAAGATAATAGCAGGTAAAATTGAATTTGTTTATAAAAAATAATTTAAAAATAAACTTTAAAATAATAATTAAAAAAAAAACAATGAAACCAGATTGTCGGCTTCTCAAAGGAGAAGCTGACAATCCGGCTTCTCTGTCCCGTCCAATTGGACGGAGAAGCCATGCAGGCCTCTCCGTCCAAACGGAGGAGCTGGTAGGCTTCTCCGATCGGTTGGACGGGAAGCGGCCGAATGTTTTTTTTTTTTTTTTGTTTTTTTTTTGTTTTTTTTTTTAAAATTAATTTAATTATTTTATTTGAATTAAAGATATATATATTTTAATTTTTTTTAAAAAATTTACCGGTTACTTGGAGGTAACCTGTTTTTTTTTTTTTTTTTTTTTTTTGAAAATTTGGAGGTAACCTGTTAGTTAACTTAATTGCATAAAAATGAGAAGTTAAAGTATCTAATTGGAGCTTTGTTTTTTTTTTTTTTTTGTTTTTTGTTTTGTTTTGTTTTGTTTTTTTTTTTTTATTGTGTAGGGAGTTAATTGCACTTTAGCTTATAGTTGAGGGACCTATTAGAATTAGGTGTCTATATATAATGTCTTTATTATATATATAAAAAATAATCAATATCAATGAATTAAATAAGAGAAATAATTTTATTAGTTATATTGTCCTTATTATATCATAGTTGTTCACTACTTTAAAGCTCCCTCTCGTTCGGCTCCGGGAGTTTTGTCGTCTGTATGAGACTACTCGTCTGGAATGTGAGGGGAGTGTCCTCCCGGGGTTCTGCTCGCAGAATCCGTGTACTGTTGAGAATGCATGCACCTTTTATATTATGTCTGCTCGAGCCTTTCAGTTCGCCTAACTGGCTTGAGTTTTTCAGGATTCGTTTTAATTTTGATAATGTTTTTGCTTCTGATAATAATAAAATTTGGCTTTTTTGGAATAATGATTTGGCAGTAACATTTGAGAGTCAGACTGAGCAGTGCGTCACGATTTCTTGTGTGCACTCTACGGTTCTCACGCCTTTTTGGCTCTCATTTGTTTATGCCAAAACCAAGGAACGCCTTCGGGACCCGTTATGGGTTGAGCTGAAAGCTGTATTTTCTATGATTCTCGGGGGGGTTCCTTGGTCAGTTGCAGGAGATTTTAATTGCTTGTTAAGTGTGGACGAGAAAAAAGGTGAGCTTCCGTATTCACATCGGAAGACTACTGATTTTCAGGAGTGTGTCAGTGCGTGCGACTTGATTGATGCGACCTATTACGGTTCCTGTTTCACCTGGTGGAATGGGCGACGTAAGGAGGCGGCTATATGGATGCGTTTGGACCGGTTCCTTTATACTTCGGTGTGGGAATCGGTGTTCAGAACATCTGTACGGCATCTGTCAAAGTCCACATCTGACCACAGTCCGCTTTTAATATCTTGTGATTTGTTGAGTACGCAGGTGGTACCGAAGCACTTTGTTTTTCTGAACGTGTGGATTAAACACGAAGATTTCTTGAGGGTGGTGCGTGATAGCTGGCAGGTTCTTGTTGAGGGGGCCCCTATGTTTGTGATTGCCACCAAGTTGAACAGGCTCAGTAAGGTTCTGAGCAGGTGGAGCAAGACTGTGTTTGGGGATATTCTTGTGAAGGCTCCGTGAGTATGAGGATAGTGTTCAGACCCTAGAAGCTCCCTTACAGCAACATCCTGATGACGAAAATACTTTATTTGAATATAAAAAGGGTGTTGCTCTTTTACAAAAACAGATTGCAATTGAGGAAGAATTTTGGCGGCAAAAGGCGCGTATCACCGAGGTCCAGGATGGGGACAGAAACTCCCGGTTCTTTCACTCTGTTGTTAAGGAACGCATGCGTAAGCTATATATACACAGGGTTAAAGATAGTGGCGGTGTGTGGTTGGAAGATAGGCAGGGGATTGCTAATCAGGCAGTCTCTTTCTTTGAGCATATGTTCACCGCGGAGATTGGGGGTTTGGCTAGATTGGAGTGTGTCCCACGACTGGTTACAGAGGAAGATAATGAGTTATTGACGGCTGTGCCAGAGGTGGAGGAGGTGAGGGCAGTGGTAATGCAGATGAACTCTACGAGCGCAGCAGGGCCGGATGGTTTCTCGGGGGCCTTTTATAAGGCCTGTTGGGATATTATTCAGGATGATGTACTCAGTATGGTTCGGAGTTACTTTGCAGGACGGGAATTCACCAGGGCTATCACGCACACATCCATTGTCCTTCTACCGAAGAAGCCGAGTCCAGAAACCTTTAAAGATTATAGGCCTATCAGTTTGTGTAACTTCAGTAGTAAGCTGATCACGAAGCTCATGGTAGTTCAGATGGCTACAGTTTTGCCCTGGGTGTTGTCACCGTAGCAGAGTGGGTTTGTAACTGGTCGGTCTATTACAGATAATGTGCTTTTGGCGTCCGAGATGTGCTATGGATTGAGTTTGCAGAACCGGGACATAGTGCTTAAGCTGGACATGGCTAAGGCATATGACCGGGTATCGTGGTTTTTTCTGACTTCGGTGATGCGCCGCCTAGGTTTCAGTGAAGTCTGGATTGACATGGTGTTCCGGGCTGTGTCTAATGTTTGGTATTCAGTGATAGTAAATGGAGTCAAAGAAGGCTTCTTTACATCTACGCGGGGACTCAGACAGGGGGATCCATTGTCCCCGACTTTGTTTGTGATTACAGCTGAAGTCCTGTCCGTTTACCTTGCTCGGGTGTATGATGGCACTACGGTGCCTCGGTTTACACAGCCGCTAGGGACACCACATATACATCACCTGGCCTATGCGGATGATGTAATTATTTTTAGCACGGCCAGGTTGGGAGCAATTCAGGAGGTAATTAATGCTTTGGAGGAGTACGAGGAGATATCGGGACAGTTGGTGAGCTTTCAGAAGAGTGCTTTTTACATGCACCCTCGTACTCCAGCTCGTGAGATTGATGAGATTCGCAGGGCAACAGGTTGTGTACATAAACAATTTCCATTTACTTACTTGGGTTGCCCTGTGTATATTGGCCGCAAGAAATATATATATTTTGCCTCGGTGGTTGATAAAGTGAAGGCTAGATGTTTGAGTTGGCAACGCCGAGTGCTTTCAAAGGGCGGGAAGGCAATTTTGATATCCTCAGTCTTGCAGGCCATACCATTGCATTTATTCTCGGCCTGCGCACCGCCTAAGCAGGTCATTCGGGACTTGGAAAGATGTTATGCTCGCTTCTTCTGGAAACAGTCAGGCGGCGCCCGGTATCATTGGAGTTCTTGGAAAACTCTTTCTCGTCCTAAAAAGGAGGGGGGAGTGGGGTTCTTAGACTTGGATTTGATGGTAAGGGCGGCCAGTGCCAAATTGTGGTGGAATTTCCGGACAGAACACACGCTTTGGTCAGATTTTATGAGGGCTAAATACTGCCGCCGGGTTCACCCGGTTGCTAAGTTAGTCCAGACTACTGATTCACACACCTGGAAGCGGATGTTGACAGTACGTGATGAGGTTGAGAGGGTTCTGACTTGGCGGTTGTTCCAAGGCCGGGTTAATTTCTGGTGGGACAACTGGTCAGGTCTGGGCCCGCTCGGCGAACTTTATCCACACCGGGGGGTTTCCTACTCCAGGGATTTGCTTCTGGACTATGTGCGGGATGGTAGGCTTGATTTGGCTGGCCATGATGACTTGGCTTATGCAGGGATTAATGCGGACCTGTCCCGAATGGGGCAGGGTCCGCGTGATATCCCGCTCTGGACCATGGCGTCCGATGGTATGTTTTCTTATTCCTCTGCTAAGGCCTTTCTTAGGCCTGCTCTGCCCACTGCACCGGACCCTCTCTTAGCTAAGTGTTGGCGCAAGCACCTCCCTTTTAAGGTGTCCTTCCTAGCTTGGAGAGTGTTCCGAGGGCGGCTTCCTACGGATGACATCTTGGCTCGCTTCGGTCATGTGATCGTTTCGAGGTGTTGGTGTTGTCCGGCCCCGGTTCCTGAGTCTATTGATCATATTTTTTATTCTGGGGAAACGGCAAAAGCTGTCTGGAGATATGTTTTGGCGTCCCTCGGCCTCTATTCGCGACACCGGAGTCTTAGGACTTTAATTGTGGGATGGGGCCGGAGGGGGACGCGTAACCCTCTTTTGTCTTTTGTTGTTAGCAGGTTGCCGTATCTGGTATTGTGGGAGCTGTGGAAGCACCTAAATGGGTGCATGCATGGCCGCGATACTCCCAGCATTCCACGAGTGATGCATGGGGTAGCAAAGGGGGTGGCGGAATGTTTGTTTAGGCGGTGGTCTATGCAGCATATCCTGCCCTCTAATTGGAGGACTGTTGTGGCATACTTGGAGGCACACGTGCCGAGGCGTGTTGTTAGGACGGTCAAGTGGTCTCCTCCTGCTGCCGGTGCTTTAAAGATTAATTTATCTTTGTCTTTGGCAGTAGGGGGGCTGCAGCCGTGGTACGCAACCAGGAGGGTGGCTTTTGTTATGGGGTTGCGTGGTCTGGACAGGGGGAGCACGCTCGGGGCATGTTCCGGGTCTTGTTCTCCTGTCTGGAATGGTGCCTGGCCGGGGGAAATACAGTGTTGGATATAGAGTCCACTTGGGCGGAGTTGGCTAGCTATGTTGATGTTTCTGTGCGCCCTCCGTGGGTTCTGGATAATGTGGTTTCCAAGCTCCGTTTCCTGTGTTCCTGTGGGGTAGTTAGCTGCTGTGTGCCCGTCTAGGGCCAATCTACCTGCACAGGCGTTAGCTGATTGGGTGGTTGGTAAGCCGGGGGAGGTCGTCTTTCGGAACCTTAATGATCTGCCGCGTAGGGTTCGTTCGTTAATGATACATGATGATGTGTCCTATGTGTTTTTTGAGATTGATGATCCCCGTGATTGTGTTAGTACTTCCTGCTGTATGTTTGTTTGAAAGTGAAAAAAGAAGTAATGAAAAGAAAAAGAAAAGAGAAAAAGAAAAGGAAAAAAGAAAAAGAAGAAAAAAGGAAAAAAGAAAGGAAGAATGAATGAAAAAGAAAAGAAAAAGAAGAATGAAAAGAAATGGAGTGAAAAAGAAATGGAGTGAAAAGAATTGGAGTGGAAAAGATCTAGAGTGCAAAAGATTTGGAGTGCAAAAACGAGAGTTGGAAAGGCAAAAGAAAGAGTTGAAGTGAGCTTTAAACAGAGAGTGTGTGAGGTTTTTGTAGGGAGGCCATGAAGTCCTGCTTGCAGGATCGAGCCTCAACGTAAGGTGTTGGCGGTACAACATGGCACCCTAGTCCGGGCTGAACGGTGCACCGGACAGGACTAGTCAAATCCGTTGACCTGGTCAGGCTTGCTGCTGGCCAATAGTAGCTGAGCTCCTTCTGGACTCCGGGGGGGGGGGGGGGGGGGGACGGGCTATTATTTGGGGGTTGCTTTTTGTTCGCGTCATCCTGTTAAAACCTTAAACACTCGCACGAGGTAGAAAGTTGAAATAGTTGGGTCATGGGAACAAGATACTTGCTTGTTCTATCTTGTTTCTATTTTTGCAGGTGCTGTTTTTCTGACCTCCGAGGCGTGTGCTGGTCTATAGGCTTTTTTGGTTTCGCCTTTGCACGCATTTTTTGAGATAGACTAGGCCTCAACGTTGGTGCAAGCGGTAAGAAATTGCATCCTAGCCCGGGCTGAACGGTGGCCGGGTAGGGGGTTTTCAAATCCGTTGGCGGTAGTCCAGGCTTGCTGCTAGCCCATAGTAGCTAATCCCGTTAGGGTTGGTTCTGGTTCGTGCTGGTGCTGATCGGGAGTTCCTGTTATTGGCTGCCTTATGTTTTGTTGTTTTGATTATTGGCCTGTGATTTACCATGTATCAGTTATGTATCTATTTGACTTAGGCCTGCGTGACGCTGTTTCTGACTATTGTTAGGCCTTCTATCATATTTGCTGGGTGGTATACTATTGCCTTTTACAGGGCAGTCAATAGCATCCCAGGAGATGTTACAGTCGTGGTTCGGTTAGGTTGCATTATAGTGCAGAGTCGCTGTGGTGCAACTTGCAGGGGGAGTGCTATGGCTGTGGCATGCAAGGTGTCTGTGCCTTGCTATTGAGATTCATGTTTATATGGTGGACCGTGAAGCAGTTGGGCTGCACGTTTATTATATTTTGGAGCAGCTTCGCAGTTTACTTAGCTTGAATTTATATTTAGATGGTTTATGCTCTATTATGCATTCTAGTTAGCAATAGCTAGTATGGGACTTGGGGCGTTTATGTTAGAGCCCCGGGGGCTTTCTTTATGTAATCTCGTTTTATTTACTTAAAAAAAAAAGAAAAAAAAAGCTAAGGTAAATTGTATTTTTTTTTTTTGAAATATTCATGATTCTTTATAAGGTAGTATCTGTTCCAAGATAAATTGTATTTCTTTGTTAAGATGATTTAAAATGTTTACATTTTTACTACCTTATCTAATTTTATTCTTTAAACTAGGGATTCCTCTACCCGCAAGAACGGTTGAACCAAATGAACCCCGAGCAGAAGACCTAAATGACTGATATGCTTTTATGTTAATAATAATATATATAAATTTTAAATTATCTTAAGTAGCTACATTTAAAACTCATTATTAAAAATGTTAATGTAGGACAATAAAACACCGTGACATACTTGGCACATTGAAAAGATGTCGAGACTACAACAATGTTGCAATCAATTTGGCAAATCTAGAAAATGAAGAAATTTCAAAATAGCCCCCGATGCTGCATCCATTGATCCTATTTGTAAAATACTTATTGTGCATTCATTAATATATTAGAACTAATATAAAATTACTTTTATTTCATCTTCTAGAATCAACCTGCTTACATTAACGGAAAAATCAGTATCAACCTTAACAACAAAAATACTTGGTATATAGGATATGGTGAAGCCACTGTTAAAAAAAAAAAGGTTTTTTCACAAAGTGACAAACAATTGAACTCCAATGTCAGTATCAATTGAATAATAAAAAAACACACACACATAGACACAAAATCAATTACTATACTCATTCATACTAATTCCAAAAATATGAACTTGAAAATGAACATGTGCAAAATGGATGTGGAAATTGTTGATGAAACTAGACATGTTGCGGCATCAGTATTCGGACTACATGCATAGTTATTGTTGTACTATCAAGTAAACAAGTTATGAAAATAGAACAAGAGGTACTACACATGAACCTTCTACAAAAATAATAAATATTAATATTTTATTTAATACTTCCACATGAAATATGTAGGGGAAAAACTACATACCACTGCAAAATATCAACATGTACTTGCAAGATCAAGAGTTCATATAGAACAACTAAGATCCAAGTCATACACACAACAAGACAAATCCACACTTTCTACACCATAATCTCATTACATGACACTATGATCTATGCAATCACCACTAACCCAATTGCAAATGACACACTACCAACAAAAAAAAGAAGAGGACAAATAGTGAAGATGAAGACAATGACAATGTTATCTAAAAGAGAATTAAGAATACTTAGAGAAATTCAAACCAAAAGTATTATTTATTTAGACTATCATTTTTAGACTGAATATTTAGACTATCGATTTTACAAAGTTGCAAACATTTATTTTAGTGACAATTATAATGAATCTCCTACATTATCTTGCATTCATATACTTTGAATTACCTATTTAAATAAACAAATTCGACATTCAATTACATATATATGAACATATACTATATAATCTTGTATTGATATACTTCAAAATACTTATTTAAATATAAACATTGATCATTAGTCTATTCGCGCAATACGCGTGTAAAACTAGTATACGTATATATGCACAACTGATTCGACTAAAAGCAATTTTGGTGGTGATTTTTTTTTCTTTTTGAATTTTTTGTCAAGATTTTATTTAGGCAGAGAAGAAAAGAGAGATAATTTTACTGCAAGATTATTTTTTATTATTATTTTTTTTTACTGAAAAAGGTTCAGTAAAAAAAAAAAAAACACGTGCATGTGGCGGGCGCGTATCGTGCATGCTTCAGTTGAGGCGATTGGATTCACCTTGTAAGCCTACAAAATTAAAGGATGAGAATAAGAAAAGATTAAATCACAACAAACAGAAAATGAAAGAAATTGGAGAAAACGGTACGATGGGTATGGTCAAAATACCAAAGTCAGCGGATCCGCATGATACATAGATAACCAAACATATATATATGCGAAACAAATTCAATATATATATATATATATATATATATATATATAGATTGCTTCAACAGTTTAGATTTAATACTAATTAAATATATAACATTAGTTTTGATGACATTCTAAAATTATTTTAGTATTTCATAAATCCTGGTTTTGTTTACATTCTAAAATTATTTAACATTTTATAAATTTGGTGAAAAGGTGGGTGGTGCATGTGTCAGGTGTAGGCATGCACCATTGACATGCCATGAATAGTGAGTAACTACTATCCCCATCATCATTTATGTAAATAAAATAAAATAAAATAAATAACATTCATCAACAGTTTTAATTTTTTATTTTACTTTTTATCTTTGAGTCTGCAATTATTTATTAAAATTTGTATTTTGAAAGCAATTCCTTAATAATAATTAAACTTTTTTTTTTATTTAATTAGTCGTTAACTTGATTGTGTTCTCGATCACTTGGCCCGCACGCACGCTCTACGCACGGATAATATAACGTAACTACGAGAAATTTTTGCAAAATTCCATCGAGCCAAGTAGACGAAAGGGAAAAGGAAGAAGACAGAACAATAGCCAACGAGATGTAAACTATGGCCACCCCACCTAGCAATTAAGTGTAAGCAATATATGTTAGTGGCCGCCGAAATATATATATATATATATATATATATATATATATATATATATATATATATATATATATATATAGATCAGATTACTTCAATTTCTTCTTTAAAATATATTCCATATATCCTAAAAACACACATTCCCATAGTAAATTATAAAAAGTTAAACAACATAACGCACTAATAGTGACGGTACTTGACGGCGGGGTAGTAGCCGATAGAGATACCCAAGGCCATGAAACCTATGTAAAAGATGGCCACCTTCCTCCATTTTTTGTTCATTTCGTCCTTGCAAGACTGGAAGTTGTAGCAAAATATGCTTTGGTAGTTAATCCAACTTTCTTCATACGGAGACATGATCCAGGTTGTTTGTTTCTGGTAGATGAAGTAGTGGCCGCTCGGTGACCGTAAAAATTCATCGGAAACGATAACAATCGACTTGTCCAGGGAACACGAACACCCTATGAAGCGGATGGCTGAAACCAGGAAGATCAACACCATGAAGCCCATCACCTCCTTGTCAAGAAAACGACCGGACGCTGTGGTGGACTGCCATATCCCACAGAGCAACACCGGGATTGTAAACAACAATGTGGCTGTCATCATAGCTCGGAAGACTCTGCTGCTGGTAACCATCGTCGCCCGTTTTGCACGTCTGATCAAATAAAAACACTGAAGATATTAGAGCAAGTGTTGCCTGGAATATATAAGAATTTAACAAAGTAAAGTTGAATAGGATGAACAAAATTTAAGAGATCTTTTAAATTTATTTTGATCACGTTTT